AAGGCCCAACACTCAACAGGTATTGCCAGTGAGAGAAGTTAGGGATGGCAACTCGTTTTGAGTTCATTTTCTAACCGGTCTCGTGGGCTGGCTGCTTCCTTTCCAGTCTCTTTTGTCCCTTAATTCCTTGTGCCCACAGTTCTAAACGGCTCATCTGTGCAAATGAGGAAAGAATAATTGTTTCCACTAATGTTGCAGTGGCTGCTGAATCATTAAAAATCTATCAGGCGACACTCCAGCAGGACCATTAAGGAAGTCTGTTCAAATCCCTCCAGTATCACCTTGTGAAATGTGGTGGCTAAGCCTACCATGATATCAAAGCCTTGGAGGAAAAACACATCTGCTTTATAATTGTTAGATTTCTGCATTTTCCTACATGCGCTTAATACAGTCACAAGTACTGAAGCCTTGGCTACTTGCTGCCTTCAACTAAAACAGACACGTGTGTGTACGCACACATATACGCCAAACCGAACGATGAAAGTCAAATCTTTCTTGAATCACTTTGCCCCACGACACCAAACGCCTCACGCTGATGCCCTCTAAGGTTTAAAGGATGACAAGAGTGAGGATGTGCAGCAGCAGCTACTTTTAAGAAAGCTTTTCCTACAGTATATTTTTGAATAGTTGCCTTAATGGAGCCTACATCATCTGAAAAGGTTGATATTGCTAGGGGAGCCTTAACTTGTGCATGTTCCATGTTATGACTTCAGGCTTTCTTACAAGAAAGAAAAACAACTTGCTGCTTTACACTGGCAGTCAGTGCAACAGTTTTCTAGTATAAAAAATAATTTAAGGTCAAAAATCACTATGTGAACATAGAATAACCTTTCTCAGCGGGGCTGCTTGCTGTATATATTCTGTATCAAGTTTCCTAATTAATTAATCATTGCAAAGGGTTCATATTTCTTCTCTTAATAATAAGATAGGCAAAGTTTCTAACTAAAGCCCTAACTTTGGCCTGCAAAAATACTTTCAGAAATAAAATTCAGGTTAAGAGAGAAAAAGGCTCTGTGTCCATAACAAAATGGTCACTGTTAATACTGGTGTGCAAGGGGGCAAGAAATCAGCTTAATATTGGCACTTGGAGTATGCAGAGAGGGCAGCTAAAAGGAGCAGTATTCTACAGTCGAGTGCAGCCAGTTTGACTGAGATGTCCTTGAGAGAGAAACACAGTTCTATGGCACAATCCTTACAGACTACAGCTCCATGTTAGGTAAACGAGAGCTGCTCGGATTTTTAAGCACCGAATTCAGAGATTCCGAAATAGACACATATTCCTGCAGTTTTTCAAGTAGTGCAAGCTTTAATTATGCCAATGGTTTTGACATTTCGACAATTCAAAGTATTTCCACTGCGGTTAAATATGCCTAATAAATGCCAATAATTTCATGTGCATGCACGGTACTGTGCTATACGCATGCAAACGTTCACTGCTCAGTGAAATGTGATCCAGTGAAGCCAAGCATTCAAAAGCAGCAGCTCTTCACCTCTCTCCTGCTCCTTTCAGACAGGAGGACATTATAAAAGCTTGCCAGAAGAGATCCCTTTGGTGCACAACCGTAGAGACGGCCAGGAAGCTGTCTCTTCCAGCATGGAGGAAAGGACTGCTTCAACTCCTGCACGCTGAGCCCTCGACCTCCGCACAGGAACGCGGGCGCCTGCGCAATGGGGAGGCTGCGAGAACTGACCTACCTGACAGTTCATTTCCCAGCCCACCTTTAAGGGCAGATAAGGGAATCGCAGCTGAAGGCAGACGTCTACACTGAGGCTGCCTTACCAACCATCCCATCAAGGGCTGGTTCCCACCATACCCTTGAGAAGGGCACACCGGGAGCAAGGGTGTCGCAGAGCTGCTTCTTATCACCTCCTTTGGCAAGCTCTGTATCATTCCCAGTAAAGAAACCACATGCAATCTCACCTTCAAGTTTATTTGTACAAAGTGCTCAACTGAAAGGAAAGTCACTGCTTGAAAGGAGAGAACAGTCTTTGGTCCTATAACCTTCCTCAACATGTATCTTTATGGTTGTAGACTTCTGAGTTCAAAAGTGATATTCGGAAGCTTACATTACTGAAAGGTTGAGATAACTCCTGGAAAAGTTATGACGAGCATCTTAGAAACGTTATAGAGAGTATTGTAAGCAAAGAGAAACCACTCAGGCACTTGTTCTCCCTTTTTCTGGGCCTTTAAAGAATCTCTCTATGAAGCACCATATTAAGGTCCTATTTATGGTAGAAGTCAGGTGCTCTTCTGCTTGATTTTGGAAACAACTTCCAAGTAAATAAGTAGAGTTATATTTCCAACGAAAGATATTTGGGTGTAAAAAAGTGACCAGGACAGCTCTAAGCAATGTGACTTACATTCTTAGACCAGCAGAAAACTCTGTCTCTCTGAACAGATGGCACACCAGACAGGTATAATTATTTTAGTACAAAAACAAATCGTTCTCTGGCTACAAAAGAGTGCTCCCATGGTTATGTAATTTATTACATACTACACACAAAACATACATATAGTTGATGTAGTTACTAAATTGATATACTGCCTGATATCCCCTCCCCCTTGCCTATTACAAAGGAAATAAAAATGGTAAGGAAGCTGAGGGAACTACAGCTAGAAATCTCTCAGACTTTGATTCTGTCTTCTGACCATCACCCAGGTATTGAAAATACTGCTGCTGGGAAGCTGTGAGACCACTCAGCTCCTACACAAATACTCATATGGCTTAGCACTAAAAGTGGCACCTAGTGATTAGCACGAACTTAAAAAAAAAAAAAAAAAAAAAAAAGGCAATTAATGGCATCTGGGCAATTAACAGACTAAGTCTACAGGCAAAAATAGCTATAGGGATAAACAGACACAGAAAAAAAAAGTAGCTAGAAAAAAAGAACAATCTTAGAAGTAAAATAATTGTGTCTGATGCCAGACAAGAAACCCAACAGAATCAAGACTTAAATTCTTCTACACTTTGGTTGCACTATTGAGAGCAAAACCAGGCACCACACTAACGTGAAAGGAAGGTTTTGGGCAAGGAATCTCAATGCCAACCACCTAACTCTGACATATGCCCAGTGAAACACAAAGTCCTGCCTGAGCTGGAGCCTGGCTTGGGGAAGTCAGCCCTTCAGCTGCTCCAAGGTGTGATCGTGGCCGGGGGGAAGCTGCAGGGTTGCCTCCTCTCTGTGCTTGGCACGGCACAGACTCTGGGCCTCATGATGCGACGCAGCCACACGGCCCTTCCATCTGCTGAGCACCTGCCTCCAACCTCACTCTGTGCACGAGTAACTTCTTCCCAAGGTACCTGATTGCATAACTGAATATTGGACTATAAGATTTGCTTATTGTTGTCTGTGTTGCCTAAGATACCCATTCAACTTGTCTAGCTCTCACCTGGCATAGTTTTGTTTTTGTGAATTCACACTTATTTTCGCCTTCTTTTTAGCACAGAGAAATAGTTTGGAAGATAGAAAATAATCAGCAAAGAGCAGGTCCTCTCATGCCAGAAAAGACTGCAATATAAATACCCGTGCTGGCAGAAGAGAATAAATTATTCACTAAGGTGCCTTAAAACAAGAAATAAAGACGACAAACCAGCTGTCAAGTATCAGCTTTTAATCCCTTCACATTCTAGCATGTTTTTGTAAATCGCACCGTCACTGTTTTTAAAAAGAAGACAGACACAAACAACCACACCCTGAAAACTACAAACCCTTCTTTACCTCTCTTAATGTCATCCAGCTGAGGCTCAGGTGAAGGGTTATCCTTCAAAGGAGAAGTTTTAGGTCCAGCTGCTGGCTTGGTTGGGGCTCTGAACTGTGGTGGAGGCTGAGAGGCTCGGGCAGACTGCTGTTCTATTCGGGCCTGGATCTTACTGCTGCCCTCCGCTCTGAAACAACACGCCAGAGACTCAGCAGCACTGTGCAGCTGTGTGGGTTTTTTTTTTTTTTTTTTAGTATATTTGTATTAAAATATTATCAGCAATTTCCTTTTGAAGAGGTCCCCCCCATACTCCGCTTTTTTTTTTTTTTTCTTGCCCATCTGCTGCTTGAGGGAACTGGAAATATTCTTTGCTCTCCTCCAACTCTTGCTTCACCTGGAAAAATTCCAGGTGAGTGGATCCTGGCCATCCATAAATGGCCAGGGCTTCAAATCTCATCTCTAATGCACTCCTATGCACTGGACAAGATGCCCTGCCTTTAAATGCTATGTGGATGAGTTTTCACATCACTGACTCAGAGGAGTTACAGCCCATTTACTTTGAACTCAACCTGTCTTTGACAAACTTTCAGCTAAGTGTGCATGAGCTGTAACCCACACAATTATATAGCTTTAGCAGCTAGAACTTCTACATGGCAATAAAATTTGTCTCTTAAAAAATAAATCATATCATCATAAAAGTATTCAAGAGCATCTCCTGCATCAGACACCTGCATAGAGACACACTGGATCTCAATAACTGATGAGTCCAGTGGTGTTGAAAGAATGATTCTGAGAATTCAGATGCTTGCAGATCAGCAAGAGTACTAAAAAAACTTCAACTGCACACGTTGTACAGTGGAATTTAGGCAGTGAAGTATGAATATTGGGTCAGAGGGGACTTCTGGCCTCAGCAATTTGTCAAGACAAAGCCTTAAAGCCAATACTTCCTCAGTTTTTCTCCTCCATCTGGAGTCTTTGGACTTTTGCTCCACTTAGATATCATCAGTCCAGTGCAAGGATGAGTGTTTCTTGCTCCTTAACAGCATGTTATTAAAGCTTCAGGACTCCCACAAGAAGCTGCAGGGAATGAACCTCGGAAGTCCACCAACCCTTTTGACAGGCTCACATCTCCATTTTCAACTAACTAGAGATTCCTGAAAAACATCCCACCTTCTCGACAGTTTCCAAAGCTCCAGCTCATCAGAAGTGTTTCGCTGCAAACTATAATTACAGCCTTTCCATAGTGGGGAATCCATTAATTCTTTACTCTTGGATTCACACTTCCAACAGCTGTTTACATATTTAGGCAAGATAATTGGTCCATAAGGTTTAGTAGTTAAAACTTACTACAAAATAAAAGAAAACTGAGCTCAGGTTCAAACAACACAGCCTGAGTAGAAAACTTCAGCAAGAAATCATGCTATTAACTTAGCCCTGTCCCCAGCTTTACCTCGTTTTCTTCACTTGAATGCTGCTGCTGAGTTTTTCCAGTACATACTCCCCAGTGTCATGATTGATAATAAGCACACAGTCCTTCTGGTATGGCCTTTTGTTTCCTTTAAACACAGTCATCGGTGGAGTTGAACCCTGGCGTCCAAAAAAGAGCACACACTGGTTTGGTTATATGCCCTCTACCCGGAAAGTTCATAAACACCGATTCAAAGGCAAACATACTGTTCTGACCTAGAGACTAAGAAGTTAATATGCAGCTCCTACAGAAAATGCTCATTCATGAAAAGGGAAAAATACAGTTATATGCAGGAGCCCAGGTGTTTCCTCACAGCTTTATTATGTCTTTCATCATTTTAAATGTCTCTGAAGTGACAGAACATCTTCTCTTTACTTGCTATTATTTGCAGCCCTCTCTCCCAAAATGGTAACTTGATGATTATTTGAATAGCTAGCTGTGACAAATGTCAGGAATTTTCTTGAAATTTCTGCTCTGGAAATTTTCTGCTCTTAGATCAGATAAGACATAAAAATAACCTAGCAGAACTGTCATCTAAAGAAGTGTGTGGTCAATTGACACAATATTTAAACAGCTTTGTAGTTAATATACCAAGTTCTTTTTTTAAAGAATAATTTTATGATGGATTATAAGCAACTGACACACACTGTGCAAGAGCAACCACCTTCAAAATCAAATTAGCATGTGGATGCTGAACATTTACAATCTTTACTTCTCAAAAGGGATGTCCTTCCAGAAAGTCCCCAAGTCCACACAGTGCTGCATTAGAAGAACCACAGAAATCCAATGGGTTAGACTGAGAAGTAATAAAGGCAAATTGAGGTGATGGTGCACGCCAGCAAAACACTGCTCAGACTGTGCTCTTCCACACTGCTTCCACACATAAGCCTCACAGTGGTTTTGGGGTACAGGAGGTAGAATCAGTTACTGTCTTTCTGCACACAGCAGCGTGAACCCGGCCATATCGAAGAGAGGACATATTTACTCAAGGGACACATACCCAAGTGCCTTCTCAGCACTGCGTACTCAGATTTCATAGGAGCTACCAAGAGTAATTAAAAAAATATTTATGCACCTGGACACATATTGGATAGCAACTGAAACCAAGGGGAAGAGGAAGAGAATATGTTCTTCCACGTTTTATTCTAAATAGTAGAAGGAATAATTAAATTTAAATACTCAGAATGAAAACCCTGATCTCAATATTGATAATAAAGAGAATATGTTCGAATCTAAAAAGGGTCTGGAACAGCAAGAGTAAAATAAATCAGGATTCCTCACAAAGATACAGTAAGAGTACAGTTCCGAAGAGATCATAGTTTCACAACAGTCAAATCTTCAAAGACATGTTATATTTTTAACATTCCTACATTTAAGAGAGGAAAACAACATTTAAGAAGATAAAACATAAGCTGAAAGTCAAAGCCAGCTCACTGCTGACAGTAAATCACAAAGCAAAAGGCACAAACACAATCAGAATCGATAAAAGTAGTCTATTATTCAGCTACCTAGAAACCTCCTAACTCAGAAAAGTCTGCAATTTTGGCTTAAAAAAAAAAAAAGGCACCAAAATGAAAGCCATACTTAAGCAAACTAACAGTCCTACCCTTTTACTTAAAAGTAAACATTTAAATGTCTTAAGGTTGGTGCCTAAATAGCACTAGCTTTCAGATCCTGCTGATAACAGGACAGAAAAAGAAGGTAAGTGAAACTGGTAACATTTATTCAGGTTTGTTTTCAGGAATGAGGTTTTTTTTTCCCCTCTAAATGAAGCAAAAATTCTTCGTTTCCTCAACCAAGACTGATTATTAGAGCCACTAAATCCACAATTAGTACTTCAAGCTCTCTTAGTAGCCATGAACACCAGAAAACTCCACTGAAGAAGCCATCAGAGAGCAGGCAACTTCAAAAAACCTCAGGAACCAGGCAATTTCAAAACAACAAGCAAGCAAAGAAACAAAGAGAGAAGCAAAGCTGAGAATGCAAGAAATTCCGTAAGCCTTGTAAGGATGAAATGATCTCAGAACTCCTCTGGGTTTTGCAGCTAACCCAACCGAGCTTCGGCAACGCTGCCTTGGAAAAACACGCGCGCAGCGGCTGCGCTTTGTGCCGTGAGCTGCACAACCCCCAGAGCTCACTAGAAGCTGCAAGCTGTTCATGCTCGTGGGAGGACAATCAGATTAAAACCATCAGTAGAGATTTGTAAAGGGACGGCACAAGCAATTTAGTTCAATATGCAAAAGATAAATAACACAGTTGTCAAAGATGAATGCCATTGCTATTAATCGCATTATTTTCTGTTGTATTTAGCACTACTATATTCACTATTTTACAGACAAAAATCAATTATACCACATCCTGCAGCACTAAAAGTGACCAGTGCCATATAAAAAAGGGTGAGGGGAGCAGGTAAGCCCTCATTTGGTGAGAATTACCACATTATCTAGCAATCAAAATACTAACACAGTAGAATAAACGATACCGAATGGACCTGACAGATGGCTTCTAACCTGACTGTTGACCCCTCCACAAACACCAAATCCATCCATGTCTGAAATCTGGCTTATTGACTTGACATGCAGCACTGGCTTCAGCTAACAAACAATCCAGTTTCATAATGCAAGCACTTTCTTTTTTCACAAGGAAAGTACTGATTCTTCAATTACAAAACATCTATGAACAGTTTTACCATTTGTTTTATTGCTGTTTGACCATCTGACACAGTAGAACTTTATAGTGTAATCTGAGGAAGAAGTGGACAGACACTTCATTGCCACTAGCTAGAAAACCCTTTTCAGCATCCACTAATAAATCTAAAGGCAGTGAATAATCTATGCTATCTGTAAACAGCACCTACACAGCAACTACTGGTAAATTTGTTAGAGAGTAAGTAGAGAAGTAGGCAACATAACACAGAACCAACTTACTGGAATATTAAGGCAAGCATGAAAACACAAAGAAAACTATGTGCAAACTTTCAGCCCCTTGTAAAGTCTTCTTGCTTGTCAAGGAATAGTAGAAAGGAAGGAAACAAAGGCAAAGACACTGAACCTCACAAATGTAATCTTTTTTACAAAGTCTCAACTGGTCTTTCCCAAAGTAACATACTACAGTTTTGGTAGCTGAAATATCCACTTCTTTTAACAAAGATGAAAGAGAAAATAACATCTATAGTAAACAGCACCTACACAGCAACTACTGGTAAATTTGTTAGAGAGTAAGTAGAGAAGTAGGCAACATAACACAGAACCAACTTACTGGAATATGCGGCAAGGTGATTGTTACTTCATCTCCTTTACCAACTTGGAGCTCCCCTTCACATGACGTATCGATCGATGCTGGTTTAAAATCATCTAAAGAGAAAAATAATTTGAATTATATTCATATGTGACACTGTTTCTTAGAGCCTTCATAGTTCATCCTCCCCTGTGAAGTATCTCTGTACTTTCACTGTGATTATAAGGGAGATTAAAACATGCTAGAGTTTACATCAGGGACAGAGTAACATACCAGTGCAGTGTGTCCCTGCTCAGAACCCAGCCACATGGTAACACCAGAATCTAGAAGTTCTTTTTAAAACAGAAGCGAGTTTCTAGACCTCCGTGTTTGAAAATCCAGAAGCAGCTTTCTCCCAACCGAGGCAGCACAGGGACACTGGATGTTGCAGACAAGGGTAGCACCACTCCATGCATCTCAAAAGAGGATTAAAGGCAGGTCCCCGTGCTCTGTAAGGGTCTCGTCTGTCCGTGACAGACACTAACTTGGTGCAGCCACCCACGCTGCCCTCACTGATATCTGACCCTGTAAGAACCTTTTTGCCCCCAGACCTCCACGTTCGGGGAGCAGAGTAGCTCTCAGACCCCACCTGGGAGGAAAAAGGAGGTGCTGGTCAATATGAAGATATGCAGTTAAATTCACAACCAAGACTTTTAATTATTGCATTAGTTAGGACATTAATATCTCTGAACAAATGTATAATGTAATTCCACTATGAAAAGCACATTGCAGGGGAAAAAAACAGCTTTGTAATAAATTCTCATTAGGAAGACATTAGTGTCTAATTGAGTATTACTCTGACAGCACAACAAGCAAAATGAGGCACACTTGACTTAATCCTCATGCCGTAACTGCCAGACCAAATCATATCCTTGGTTTTCATCTGAACAGCCTGTTTCTGGCTATTGTTTCCCATTTACTTTATGTGCAAGCTTGCTAAATAAAACATAAGCTAGCTGTAGAAAGGCCAGGGTCTTTGCCAAACAGGGATCAAAAGCTTCAGCAGCACAGTCACTACATGAAAAGGAATGTATCACTAATGGGGTGCTTTCTTAGATATCTTAGGAAAACACAGAATTATTCCAAGCAAATACTCTAACATAAATTGTTTTCTTTTTGAAAGTTTACTGGCTCTACATGCTTGGATAATTTTCCTGTGGATGGAGTACACATACGTCCATCTAAACGCAACTGTAGTCCTTTCTCCAAAAGTCAGATTCCTTCAGATGGGTTTTCCATGGATAATCCAGTCTTTTCAGTTCCATATTTCATAAACATTACAGAAAACAATGAGGTATTTTAAGAAGGAAAACGCAAATTTAGCCTGCAAAATGCTATTACTGCAGTTTGTATGAAGAGAGTGAAGAGAACAATACGATGCTCAGATCCCAGACTGATCATTTAAAATCAACGGTTAGAAGAAAAACTGTAGCCAGGAAAGCGAGAGATTTCGCTTGAAAGTGACTGAAAAAACAGCATACAGAAAGCTCCCTGAAAATGATACTGCATTCTTTAGCTGTAATCTGAAGGGCCTTGGTTTTGCAATGCCTTAAGAAATTGATTAGTCAAGTCCATTCAATTCTAGAAATCCAAAGTATTTTTATATGGACACGGCATGGGTTTAATTCATGTACTATCAGACAGTATTTATTTGATGGTTGGGCTATTTTAAAATTTTGATAATTTTGGGCTAGTGCCAGACAAAACTGAGAGCATGAATAAATATTTAAATATACCAAACATACGGCACAATATTCCCTATCATCCTGGGATCATGCAAGTATAATAGAGAGCTGAACCTCACAAAAATTAAGCTCTAATCTAAAGAGTTTACTACTTAGAGAAAGCTTTGCTGTAAACACTGATCATCTACTTGAATAATAGCTCAGTCTAGAAAATTGTTCTTTCAAGCCTCACTCAGCTGACTAATTTCACTGAAATTACTTGCTCACAGTGTATGAAAACAGGCCACGAAACTGGGCCTAGGATTACACACCATGTAACAAAAAAAATCCTGCTACTAGTAGCATAAATTCACCACACTAATACAAACATGCTAAAATACAATTTCAGCATTATTCTCATCTCCTGTTCTGGTCTTATTTAGGGGATGAAAAACTACTTCTTGCCCACAGAATTAAAATACCAAGATGTAGTGATCCCCTCTTCAAAATAACCTTCTAATATTATATAAAATGTACCCACTGTTAGAAAGCAGCACTTGGAAAAGATGTTCGGTGTCTCAGAAAAGAAAAAAAGGAAAAAAAAAAAAGTTCTTTGAAAACAGATTCCTGTTTGAGACTTTGCCTCAAAATTTCTCTTACGTTCTTCAGCATAACCACGTATGAGGCAACACTGTACGTGCTTGAACCATTTCTGCTTGCTTTCCTGGAAAGTGACTTATGACAGATCGACAGAGTCAACACTGTGAGGGAAAAGGCTGCCAGGTTACGTATTGCCTCATCACGAAAATAAGCAGCTTAACCCAAATTGGGGACGCTCTGGCTGCGGATGAGCTGCTCTCCTTTCCAGACCGCCCTGCCCACACAGGCCAAGCCAGATCGGGGTGCAGTGACCTACAACGTCAGGGCCACGAGGAGAGAGAAGGGAGTTGCTTTATTGCTCTGCACTGTTCAGGCGCCCCTCATGAAGGGCCCCAGAGCCTGCTCCTCTCCTGCAGCCTCCCTCAGTCACGGAGCCCCCGGTGAGGCCGTGGGCTGCACGCAGAGAGCTGCCCTCGCAGCACATCCCAACACCCCCAGGACAGCCCGGCCGGCTCTCCCGGGACCTTCTCCTCCCACCCCTGGCTGCACCACGGAGCCGGGGGGAAAGTGCTGGGGTGGGCACGAAGAGATGGGTGCTGAGGCAGCAGGACAGGGAGGGGAGGCTACAGGAACTAAAGTGGGGGATAAGAGGGGAAGGGGGTGCTCAGAGAGGGCGATATGGGGGAAGGGGGTGCCAGGGTGGGGAAGGATGGGGACAGGCCCGGGGAAGAGAGGGTACCAGAGGGATAAAACAGGGGGATATGATGGGAAGGAGATACTGGGGTGGGATGGGGACAGGCTCAGGGAAGGAAGGGTACTGGAGGGATAAAGCAGGGGGATGTGAGGGGAAGGAGGCACAGGCAGGGGGAAGGGAGGATGCAGGCACCGAGGGGGGCGCTGGGGAAGGCGCTGGGGGAACGCTGAGCCCGAGGGCTCCAGGCCGCGGGGGGCGGCAGGAGCCGGCGCCGGGGGGGGCGGGGGGGCGGG